CCAGGGGCTCCCCCAACAGCAGCTCCCACAGACAGGCACAGCCCCGATGGCTTGGCCACTCTGCTACTCCCCTCCAGCTGCCCCCGTGTCCCCCCGATCCCCCTGCCCCACGCAGCCCCCACACCACAGTCCCCTGCCCCACACACGTACCTCACTCCTTCGCCTCTTCCCTGTGTCTCCCAGCACCGGCACCCAGCTCCTGCTGCCTCCCCCAGCTCTGCTCCTGGACGTCAGCATGCAGGGACCAAACGTTACAAATGCCTGCAGCTGCTGTCCCCAAAAATACCCTCTGATGACACATTGGGCTGATAAGACTGAGCCTGCTCCATTCAGTGCCTTGGCTGGGAAGGGCTGGCCTATGTATAGCGCCCCAGCAGGAGAGCGGCCCTGCCTGGAGTGGGGAGACAGTCCTTGACCTCCAGGGCTCCAGCGTTCGGCAGGCTCAATGGTGCCACGGTGTGGGGTCAGCCTGCCGCAGGAGAAAACACATTGTGTGGGACCCAGGCTGAACAAAGATGGGACATGCCACCCGGGACATGCTGCATGGGACACACCACATGGGAGGGGATATGCCACAGGGTATGCACTGCATGGGATGCCAGGCTGCAGCGAGATGGGACACACCATATGAGACACACTGCATGGGATGCCAGGCTGCAGCGGGATGGGATGTGCCACACAGGATGCACTGCATGGGACACTGGGCTGCTGCAGGAGTGGGCTGGCACAAAAGCTGCATCCCACCATGCAGACACGCAGGATTCCTGGAGACAAGACTCCTGGACACCAGCCTCCTGTCACTGTCCCTGCAGGCAGCCGCAGGAAGAAGGGCAGGATGTACTGGGGGGGGGGCCCCTCACAGCCAGCTGCCATCAGGCAGCTCCAGCTCCCAGGAGCAAGTCTGCAGCCAGGCAACCCAAAGGGCACTGTGGCCTCTTTCACCTGGTGCTACTGTAGGGTCTCCAGCTGGCTCAGCTCTGCCTCACTTCTTCCTCCTACAACTCCATCGCAGGCTGGCCCAGCCTTTCCCTGGCCACTGCCTGTCCCAGGCTGCACGGGGTCCTTTTCGCATCCCTCCTGCTTCGTATCACGGGACCTTGTCAGCCGCCTCCTGCCCACCACAGGCTGCCCTGGAGATACCGCAGTTCCCCCTTCCCCAATCTGTCCTTCCTCGGGCTCCCTCCTCATGTCCCTGCTCCCCAATGACCTCGAGGTGACCAAGACATCTCCAGCACAAGCATGCCCAGCCTGCCACCCCTAAAGTCCCTCCCCACATCTGGGCCTCACAAGGTTCTGGACCACATTAGGTGTCTGCCCAGGTTTCATCACCCAGCACAGCCACCATCACCTCCCCCTGTGCCCCCAGAAGCCCTGAGCCCGCAGCTCCCTCACCCTGCTCCAGCATGGGGACACCCCACACCGGCAGCTGCCACGCTCGCCCCAGGGTGCCCCTCCATCCACACTGGCACAGCAAAGCCTTCACGGCAGCACGCTGCCTGCAGCCTGGCCTCCCCCAGCCCCGTGCACCCA